GGAGGATAACCGGGGATTTTTGTTGTTTGTTTTGGGAATAGAAACTAAAAAATGGAGACTGTAAGTAGAAGCAGCTTCCAGCCTCATCCAGGATTGCAGAAGACCTTGGAACAGTTTCATCTGAGCTCCATGAGCTCCCTGGGTGGCCCTGCCGCGTTCTCAGCACGATGGGCACAGGAGATGTACAAGAAAGACAATGGCAAAGACCCCGCGGAACCTGTACTGCATCTGCCCCCCATCCAGCCGCCGCCGGTGATGCCCGGTCCCTTCTTCATGCCCTCGGACAGATCCACAGAGAGGTGCGAGACCATCCTGGAAGGGGAAACCATCTCCTGCTTCGTGGTGGGTGGAGAGAAGCGGCTGTGCTTGCCCCAGATCCTGAACTCGGTGCTCAGGGACTTCTCCCTGCAGCAGATTAATTCGGTGTGCGACGAGCTGCACATTTACTGCTCCAGGTGCACTGCTGACCAGCTGGAGATCCTCAAAGTCATGGGCATCCTGCCCTTCTCCGCTCCTTCCTGCGGGCTCATCACGAAAACTGACGCTGAGCGGCTTTGCAACGCCTTGCTCTATGGTGGCACCTATCCTCCCCACTGCAAGAAGGAATTCTCCAGCACGATCGAGCTGGAGCTTACGGAGAAGAGCTTCAAGGTGTACCATGAGTGCTTTGGGAAGTGTAAGGGACTCCTGGTGCCAGAGCTTTACGGTAACCCCAGCGCAGCCTGCATCCAGTGCCTGGACTGCAGGCTCATGTACCCACCTCACAAATTCGTGGTCCACTCTCACAAATCTCTGGAAAACAGGACTTGCCACTGGGGCTTTGACTCTGCAAACTGGAGATCCTATATCCTCCTCAGCCAGGATTACACTGGGAAAGAGGAGAAAGCTAGACTGGGCCAGCTCTTAGATGAAATGAAAGAAAAATTTGACTATAACAACAAATACAAGAGGAAAGCCCCCAGGGTAAGTGATGCCTTCCATTTCCAGGGGGTGGGGGGAGGGGGGAGAAAAGGCATTTTCTAGGATGTCGGTACCAGTTTGTTCCCGGCTGCTTTTCCTCGGAGCCGTTTAGCAATCCAACCGTGCGCTTCGTGCCCCCCACGTGTGTTGGCAGTGCCGGATGGCACGGCTCGGCTCGGCTCG